GTAAATTGCATAAACAATTATGAACAAAACAGCATCATGTATTTATGCATTGCTTAATCCAAAGAGCCGAAGCACCATTCACACAGATTGCATTTAAAACATATGAGACGCAGTGAAAAGGAATAAAGCTCCACAAATTCGTGACGTGTTTTCTAAAAGTTTAAACTGTTTTAACTTTGCATGTATACATCTCTTGTGTGAGACGCGAGTGCAGCAGTCGTATTTGTCCGTCTAAAAAATGCGCTGAATATGCGTTCTGTGTGAATGGCTTGGTTTCGGTTTTTAACCTAATCAAGATCTTCTCCGCATTGAGCTTCTATATTTCTCTAATATTTTGAATGAATAACACAGCAGCGGTGCGTCTCGTGGGCTAGACTAACAAAACATTCAAATGCAGCAATGTCGCTTACATCATTATCTCCGCATCTCGTGCTCCACTGATGACTCTCCCTGATGGACACCTAACATTCAAATGCAAATGTTTATTTTAAATTCGACTAATATTCATGTTTTTAGTCACAATTTCCTCATCACAGGCAGGCACAGCACTCATTTCAGCATGTGTTCGTGTTTGTGTGTGCTGTCTGCGTCACTCATAGCACGTGCCTATATCGTGCGCCATATCGAACATTTTTTCTATCGTTATCGAAGAAGGTGTACCGTCGATAAATATCGATACCGTTTTATCGCCCAGGCCTATATACCATAAATTATATACTCTATTTATCAAGATACATTTGCATCTTTGACGATCTCTCAGTAATGTTTGTCTTGTAAATGCAGATCAAAAGTGGACCACATCCAGGAGATTGTCACAGGAAACCCAACAGTCATTAAGATGGTGGTGAGCTTTAACAGAGGAGCCCGAGGTCAGAACGCACTCCGGCAGATCCTGGCTCCGGTCGTGAAGGAAATCATGGATGACAAGACGCTCAACATTAAAACTGACCCAGTCGACATATACAAGAGCTGGGTGAACCAGATGGAGAGTCAAACTGGAGAGGCCAGGTGTGTTTTCAACCTTTTTGATATGAAGTGCAGCCCGCTATCTAACACAATATTCTCCCCCTCCATATACGCTAAGATATTTTCAGTATTTTCTTCTGTAATTATGACAAAGCTGCTTGTTTTCAAACTTTTATTGATATATCTAATTAATTAATGTGGTTAATTCATTTAATGTATTAAATTATTTAACTTTGATTTATTTTGTGATCCCACAGGTTATGTTCTATATTCCAGAACTGTATGTTCTTCAATAAAAACAGCATTTAAGGCCTTTCCACACTGAGCGCAAAAAAGCGAAACGAATATCGGACGCGATGACGCGCTGGAATAAAACAATAGATTTCTATGGATGCTTCCACATAGACCGCGAACATTCGTGCACCAAAAATGCGAATGTTTTTTTTTTCGAACCAGTCCGACGAATCTTTTCAGTTTTGCAAAACGAAGACACGGGCCGTCCAATAAGATTTGAGCTAGGATCACGTGACCGGAGCAGCTGCTGTTGCACAAAAAGGCAAGAGTGGTGGCGCGGTTTTTCGAAAACCAGTGTAAACAAACACAGAAGAAGAGTATCCCGGAGAAGAGAGTGGATGCTGAGTTCTTGTTCTCGTTGGTATTTGAGAACAGATTTATTGTCACATGTTCTTTATACAGAATAACATTTCTATTAATTGTCCATTGAATTATGTAATCACAGTAGAGCACCGTCCGTTTTCTTCCACATGCGCGAGTGTTATGAGTCGGAGCACGTTCACTCTTTTTCTACACATGAAATATGAAAGCAAATAGACATGATTATGACGATATATTTTCTGTATGCATTTTGTATGCAGCTCATGGTATTTTTATAGCAATAAAGGATGTTTATGACAAATATTAGCAGTGTAGCGTTATTAAACATACAAACAGTGCATGTGTCTGCTTATTAATCAAAATCAACTATAGATCACAACTGGAAGTTATTACAAGCACTCGATGATGGTTTAAAGAATGCTGTATATTGAGCAGCGGATGATGTTAAATCCATTTACGAGATACATATGAGGAAAAATGCATTGTTGGTTGGCGCCACCTAGCGTGCAGGCGTGAATTAGCAGAAGGCGAACAATCGTTTCGCGTTTGGTGTGAAAGCACAGTTCGTCTGCGATTCGCCTCGCTTTTCGCATCGCGCTCAGTGTGGAAAGGCCTTTATTGTGGGGAAAATATAAAGAAATATGATTTCAGTCTTAATTTGATGTGGTTTTTTTTAGCATTTTAATTTAGATTAAATTTTAATAAATGTATAATAATTTGTTCATTTAAGTAATTTTAATTCATTCTGTGGCCCCCTTGGAAGTCTGCTGAGGCCCCCTAGGGGGCTCCTGGTTGAGAGCCACTACTTTACTAGCAATCATTTATACTTATAATAATAATAAATATATATATTTTTAATGGATTTTTAAGACATGTAAAAGAATAAAAGTAAGTACTGAAATTAATTTGATTAAATCCAGATGCACAAATAAAATGTAATGCTAGATGACCCGCTACCTAATGATGCAATGACCGTGTAATTCTGTTTTGCAGTAAATTGCCGTATGATGTGACTCCAGAACAGGCAATGAGTCACGAGGAGGTTCGAACCCGCCTGGAAGCCTCCATCAAGAACATGAGGACAGTCACAGACAAATTCCTCTTAGCCATAATTGTTTCTGTGGATAAAATCCCGTGAGTTGATAAAATCTCGCCACCCGAATTTCCCTCAGGGATCAACAAATTCCATGTCTTGCATCTACTTTTAGATGCACCTACTATAAAGTGTTCTTGAATATATGAAAATGACTTTTAGCAAGCCCAGATTTGAATATTCAAATACATGTCTGTTACATGAGCCGTTTCTTTGTTCATGCTCTTGTATAAATCAGCATTACATCGCTGTTAAAGAGTGGTGCTGTGCTGCTGCTCTTATTTTACTGAGGTTTTACTAAGCTAAACCTCTAAGAGTTAAGTTAAGAGGGCAGAATACCACATAAAATAACGCCATTTTTATATGACCTTTTCTTCACCGAATGGACTAAAAAATAACAGTGAATGAATCAGTTCTTTAATAACTCATGAACTCCTCATATATCATTCAAATAAATAATTCACTGAATCCATCAGAGCACAATTAGCAATTATGAATTAATTATGATACAATTATGAATTTACTGAATGCTAACTCATCAACACTTTTATTCATGTTTGACTTGAAATGATCCAAGAACTATTTCCATGTTACTGTGTATTACTGACTGATTGTTTTCTTGTAGACTTATTTACGTTTTGGAATAAGGGCTATTTCAACTATAGCAACATTCAAATATAAGAACTAAGAATCATTTGGGTTTTCCCTGTAGATATGGCATGCGGTTCATTGCCAAGATGCTGAAGGACACGCTTAACGAAAGGTTCCCTGATGCCACAGAGGATGAGCTTTTGAAGGTTTGTTACATCACAGCTGCTGGAAATCACAGCAGTGTTATTCCTGTGCAGCGTTTGGCTGATGTAATTGTATGCTTTAGTCTCAAAACCAAGACAGCCTTTATTCAGTTGTCTTGAACACTCTGATTACCTCTTCGCTAAACTGGCACCCGCTGCTTCTCCATATCAGTTCTGTCCCACTGTGGAACATTGTGTTGAATCCTGAGGATTTCTCTGCCCTTGTGCTTCTCTTCTGTTGTGATACTCCAGTCTCCTCACTTTGAATAATAAATGTGGTTTCCATCTCGTTCCTTTTCTTCTGGAAAGAGATTCCTCTTCTCTTTCTTTCTATCTATCTGTCCCACACCTGCTCTGTCTCTCTCTTTCTCTACGGCCTGGCTCCAGCTCTCCTCTTGGCCCTTGCTTATACCCTTTTCAAGAGATTTTTGATGAGCACCCAGCAAAGGTGAGCCACGTCTTTCTTATTCTTGCCTTGCTGCTTCTCTTTCTGTCTGTAATTTTGTTTACCCCCTTTGTAGAAGCAGAGGATCTTCAATTGCACAAAGATAGAAACATAGATAATAGGTTTTAAAAATTGCACAGATGTTATGTTTGCTTAAAAAACGGAGGACATACTCATCCCTATTATCTTTTAAGATTGTGGGCAACCTGCTGTACTACCGCTACATGAACCCCGCCATTGTGGCTCCTGATGCCTTTGACATCATTGATCTATCGGCTGGAGGTCAGCTGACCACAGAACAGAGGCGAAACCTGGGATCAGTCGCCAAAATGCTGCAACACGCAGCCTCCAACAAGATGTTCCTCGGAGACAACGCCCATCTGAACCCCATCAATGAATACCTCTCTAACTCCTACCAGAAATTTAGGTACAAGTGACATCAAAGTGCCTGTGTTTGTTTCTTTATTTCAAGCAGCTTCTTTATTTCCATACTGATGCAAGAACCTTTCTATCTCCCAGACGTTTCTTTTTGTCTGCTTGTGACGTTCCATCTTTGGAAGACAAGTTCAATGTGGATCAGTACTCTGACCTGGTCACCTTGACCAAGCCTGTGATCTACATTTCCATTGGGGAGATCATCAACACTCACACGGTAACTTTGAACGGAAATTTTGAAATTCAGACATTTCAATTGGTATCTGGGAGTTTTGACTGGGGGCAAAAAAAAATTACTCAAAAATATTTTTCTTTGGTTTCAAGTTGTTCACGAAAAATTCAGTATGTTGATCAGCAGAATGCTGATTGGTTTGAAAGTGACTTCTGTATAAGTGGTGCTTCAAGCATCGCTACACTAATGACAATAGAAAGTGGACCTTTTATACCAACGAAATTTAGGTGAAATTTCACCTATGTGACCAGATCACATCTAGTATAGTTGGTTTTAAGAACTGAATATATTGTGGTATCTTCTTTAGCTCTTGCTAGATCACCAGGATGCCATCGCACCAGACCACAATGATCCTATTCATGAGTTGCTAGATGACCTGGGAGAAGTGCCCACCATTGAGTCTTTAATAGGTGAGCCTCTGAGATATGCTTTAATGTCTCAGGATGCTGAGGTCCTACAGAGTCCGAGTGATGGACTGTTGTTCTCTCACAGGTGAGAGCCCACTTCCCCCTGATGATCCTAATAAGGAAATGATGGGTAAGACAGAAGTCTCTCTCACCCTCACCAACAAATTTGATGTTCCTGATAAGGCCAATGCTGAAATGGATGCCAAGACTCTCCTCCTCAAGTAAGGACAAAGCCTTACTCAAATTCTTCTGTTATAAAACCTAGTGAGGTACCAAGTTCTAAGGCAGCATGTTTCCTTCCCAGAGAACATAATCCACTAATGCAAACCTTTCCACTATTTCCATCATTTGCATATGATTTTCACCCTTCACAGTTGGACGGAATTTTCAACGGTTGTAAAAATGAGTGAATTATGAATGCATGAATATATCCACACAAAACAAATAACCACCAGTATGTCTTAAAAAAAACATAGCAGGTTTTCTAGGTCTAATCAATGTAAATAATTTCAAATTTTAAAATAATTATTTTGGACATAAATATTCATAACTGCCCATTTTAAAGAAACAATGTTTAAAGAATAACATTTTGGTGAAAAATTATTGGTGATTCTCACTTTGTTTGGCACTGATCTTACAGTACATTAGAATACATCACATCTGGTCTTGCCACGAAACTTCAAATATTTCAATGCATCCAAAGCTTAAATTGGATCTAAAATTTCCGTATACACATATGGTCGGGACTTCATGCAGCTTCGGTACTACTCTTCATTGGAAATGAATGACTTCCAGTCTGTTGTTTGGTATTTGTTGTTTATCAAAGAGAGTGAAAAGGTTGCTTTAGACTATAGAAATGTTAGCTCGACAATCAATTGTAATTTAAGTCTATTGTACAGAAAGCAGTTGTGAAGTGCATGGAGTTGCTGCCTTTGTAGGTCACTAGGTTCTAGAACGAATATTTTTACTTGCTAACACATTTTAACATGAATCTTTATCCATTCATCTTTCTCATTTAGCACCAAGAGGCTCATAGTAGATGTGATCAGGTTTCAGCCAGGAGAGACACTTAGAAATTTCACCTATGTGACCAGATCACATCTAGTATAGTTGGTTTTAAGAACTGAATATATTGTGGTATCTTCTTTAGCTCTTGCTAGATCACCAGGATGCCATCGCACCAGACCACAATGATCCTATTCATGAGTTGCTAGATGACCTGGGAGAAGTGCCCACCATTGAGTCTTTAATAGGTGAGCCTCTGAGATATGCTTTAATGTCTCAGGATGCTGAGGTCCTACAGAGTCCGAGTGATGGACTGTTGTTCTCTCACAGGTGAGAGCCCACTTCCCCCTGATGATCCTAATAAGGAAATGATGGGTAAGACAGAAGTCTCTCTCACCCTCACCAACAAATTTGATGTTCCTGATAAGGCCAATGCTGAAATGGATGCCAAGACTCTCCTCCTCAAGTAAGGACAAAGCCTTACTCAAATTCTTCTGTTATAAAACCTAGTGAGGTACCAAGTTCTAAGGCAGCATGTTTCCTTCCCAGAGAACATAATCCACTAATGCAAACCTTTCCACTATTTCCATCATTTGCATATGATTTTCACCCTTCACAGTTGGACGGAATTTTCAACGGTTGTAAAAATGAGTGAATTATGAATGCATGAATATATCCACACAAAACAAATAACCACCAGTATGTCTTAAAAAAAACATAGCAGGTTTTCTAGGTCTAATCAATGTAAATAATTTCACATTTTAAAATAATTATTTTGGACATAAATATTCATAACTGCCCATTTTAAAGAAACAATGTTTAAAGAATAACATTTTGGTGAAAAATTATTGGTGATTCTCACTTTGTTTGGCACTGATCTTACAGTACATTAGAATACATCACATCTGGTCTTGCCACGAAACTTCAAATATTTCAATGCATCCAAAGCTTAAATTGGATCTAAAATTTCCGTATACACATATGGTCGGGACTTCATGCAGCTTCGGTACTACTCTTCATTGGAAATGAATGACTTCCAGTCTGTTGTTTGGTATTTGTTGTTTATCAAAGAGAGTGAAAAGGTTGCTTTAGACTATAGAAATGTTAGCTCGACAATCAATTGTAATTTAAGTCTATTGTACAGAAAGCAGTTGTGAAGTGCATGGAGTTGCTGCCTTTGTAGGTCACTAGGTTCTAGAACGAATATTTTTACTTGCTAACACATTTTAACATGAATCTTTATCCATTCATCTTTCTCATTTAGCACCAAGAGGCTCATAGTAGATGTGATCAGGTTTCAGCCAGGAGAGACACTTAATGAGATTCTGGAGACTGTAGCTTCACCAGAGCAGGTACTTTAATTGCAGAATTTACAAATGAAAAACTTCATCAAATCAGAGTTTTTTTGTTTTCAAATCAGCATTTTGGTTTTTGGAATAGGAAGCCGAGTACCAGCGTGCCATGCAGCGACGAGCCATTCGAGATGCTAAGACCCCGGAGAAGATGAAGCAAGCCAAACCAGTTGTGGATGACAGTCTTACTTTGCAAGGCAAGAAGGACAAAATCAAGAGCAACTTGCAAAGGCTAGGAGAGTTGGGCAAAGTTCACCCTGAGAAGAAATACCAGGATCTTATCAATGACATCTCCAAGGTATCATTCCTATGTCCTTTGAAACTTCAAATGCGCTATTTAGTTTTAGATTAAAGCGTATTGATTTATTCGTTGATGATGTTTGAAGGACATCCGGAACCAGAGGCGATACCGTCAGAGGCGAAAGGCAGAATTGGTGAAGCTTCAGCAGACCAATGCTGCCCTGAACTCCAAGATCAATTTCTACAATGTGCAGATTGACTACTACAATCAATACATCAAGACCTGCATGGACAATCTAGCCAGAAAGGGCAAGTGAGTGAAGAGTGTTTGGAGTATTTACTGTCCAGTTTAGTTCATGTCGTTATCTCTGATTGGATAATTGCCGTTGAGCTCATGGAAAATGCGATTGCTTCACACACAGAGTTTCTAAGAAACCTGGAGACAATAAGGCGAAGAAGAGCAAGCAGGTATCGCAGAAGTACACAGCAGCCCGTCTGCATGAGAAGGGAGTGCTCATTGACATCGAGGACCTGCAGCCAAATCAGTGAGTTTCAACTTCTGGTTGTGTTTTTGACTTCATCTATTCATATCTTGCAGTTTATATATCTACATTTCCTCTTGTCGTCCTGTAATAATATGCTCGTTTCCTATTTTTACAGGTATAAGAATGTCATTTTCGAGATCTCACCATCTGAGGTTGTAGGCGTGTTTGATGTGAAAGCTAAGCTTATGGGAGTCCATTTGGAGACATTGATGTTAGAATACCAGGTAAAAAGTTCTTCTCTTGATATTTTTAGGGTGCTTTCACACCTGGCCCGTTGTTTCGGAACCTGGCGCGTTTCCCCCCCTTAGCTCGGTTCGTTTGGGCATATGTGAACATGGCAATCGC